GGATGAAAGGTTGGAACATGGGCAATCATTTCCTAAAGATGGTAATGGTAATTTTTCTGTTGGCAGGCAGAATTGGAACATGAAATTTAAAGATGCTAACTTTGTTGCTCAAGCAGCGGCTGAGTTTGCAGAACATGCAAGCCTCACTGCCAGAGNAAAATTGTACCACAAATTTATATTTGTTTAATTCGCGTATTTATTCTACCCCATATCTGTTTTACTTTTTACTGTATTTGCCTTATTGGACCACTAGTAAGCATCGATGTCGATCCCTCGTCACTACTTCTCTGGGGTTAGGCTAGATACTTACTGGGTACACGTTGCTTACGTACGCATACTACACTTGCTGCACATTTTTGTATAGGTACATATATGTCTAGAGGCCATGTGAGAGCAGAGGCGTGTATACATGCGGGGACCTAGGTGAGCTGTATTCCATTTGTCGACCCGCAGCCAACAGAGTCTCCTTCAGAGTATTTATATTTTTCCTGTCCAATTTGTAATTCGGACAACTGCTGTATTTTATTTTATATTCCTAGTTAATGCTCATGCACTTGTAACACCGGGGGTTTAGGATGATTATGGATTGTTCTGTATTGAATTTGTTAAAAGTATTATTATTTACTTTGTAAATCCTCATTCTTTACTATTTAAATTGAAGGAAAAAAATATGATTTCAAAAATAATAAAATGAGAACCCAATTAAGTAATTATTGTTGGCTTGCCTGACAGTGGTGTCCGGTGCCATCACGACCTTTATGGATTTTGGGTCGTGACAAGATACATCAACTATTCTACCACTGCATAAAAGAAACTACGCAAAGATAAATAAAAGATAAATCACAGAAGTAGAAAGATATTAACCAAGTTGGGACTCAAAAATAAAGTCTATAATAAATTAAATATTTAAAAAGATAAATCTAAATCATACAAAAGGAATCATATTCAATACATTATAGTTTTCTATTATTCATAATCGTTAGAATACTTTGTTTCTTGCTAGTGAATATGCTGGAAATAAATTAGTTAATAGGAGTAGCATAGTAGGTTTGAGAATTAGGATTTTGATCTTAATTACTTGTTGGCTTGTAACCATTTTCATAATTCTAAAACCAAAGGAAAAATTTAGTACTTTATTATTTTTAAACTTAATATATAAATATATTTTTCATATGTAAATTTATTCGGTACGGTTCAGTATTTTTTTCGTTTTATTTTCATAAAATAAAAAACCTACCCTAATTATCGGTACGATTGTAGATTTCTAGAAAAACCTGCGATTTTATTAAAAGAAACCTAAAAATCGGTTCGAATTTTTTTTTAAAAAGAAACCTACAAGAGGGGTTGGTGCGTGAACACTATCCCCCACTCTCCGAGCCGAATAAAATTTTAAATTAGCAATTTTAATGTAAAAGCATTCATTAATGGAAATTTTACCTCCTGTAGCAAACTATTACATCCTATTTATTATAAATCAAAATTATTGTAAAATATTATTATTTATAGCTACCTTTTATATTTTACAGCAAAATATGTATTTATTGTATACACTACCATATAGGCGTGAAATACGCTATTTATATTTTTTCTCTCTCTTTCTTTCAGTTAACACACGTTCTTTCTCAAATCCAAGCAAGATTTTTTTCTTTCTCTCTCCACAATCTCTTTCTCTCACATCAAGATTGTAAGAACAAATTTCTCAGAATTGATCCTTAACATTTTTTCTCCAAAAGTTCGTGGTAATTGGTAAAGCTTTTGGCCGGTTCATGCCAAATTACTTTACCATTCTTCTTTTTCTCTTCACTTTTTTTTTTCTAAAATTTTCGCCATTGTTAGGTTTTGAGGAAGAAACTTTAAATTTCGTCTTCAATGGCTGATTCAACAACTTCGAATAGGGTTACACGAGGTATACCCACTAAAGCACTTAATTTTGATCGTCGGCGTCAGAATCGTCGGCGTCTATCATCCACTATTGGCTCATCCTCTTAGGCGAACAGATCTGGCCATGGCTAGGCCGGAGAAGATTTGAGGGCTGGATTTTTGTTCGTTTCCATTTTTAGTTTTAATACAATATATACAGTATTTTGCTTGGCCGGAAAAAGCCATCTCCGACGAACTTTCTTCTCTTTTTTGCTTTTAAGTCACATGCAATGATACAAATACACTCAAATACATTATATTTTTGTATAAATATATTATTTTTTTGCATGTATTTATGTATTCCGAAGGTCTGTATTTTTTGAATACAGCCGAATATCACTTTGTTTTGTGATTTTTTGTTGTTTGAATACAGTCGAATTGAATACTCTGAATTGAGTACAATGTATAATAGTGAATAATGAATATATGTGAATTGAATACAATGTATACAGTCGAATTGAATACTCTGAATTGAGTACAATGTATAATAGTGAATAATGAATATATGTGAATTGAATACAATGTATACAGTCGAATTGAATAGAACAGTTTACACTATATTTCTTGATTACGTCACTGTATTTATAAATACAGTCGTGCGAATACATGAAATACAACACAGTAGCAGCGAAATTTATGTAGAATTGATTTTGTTGAGTTAAATTAGGAGTGATACACGCTAATTGGTCATTTTTTCGTTGTTAAACACCTGTACTCACCTATTTTTAGGCGAATTCCACTACTGTATTCATGAATACAGTAGCGCGAATACAGTCGCACAATTGGACTCCCCTATTACTGTATTCATGAATACAGTAACGCGAATACAATAGCAAATACAGTCGCGTAGCAGCGAAATTTATGTAGAATCGATTTTATTGAGTTAAATTAGGAGTGACACACGCTAATTGATTCTCTTTCCATTATTAAATAACTGGACTCCCCTATTTTTAGGCAAATTCTGCTACTATAGCGTAAATACAACGAATACAGTTGCACAACTAGACTCCCCTATTTTTAGGCGAATTCTGCTACTGTATTCATGCGAATACAGTCGCGTAACAACTAAATAATAGCTATAAAAAGTAATTATATATATTGTAGTTATAAGAAATTAATAGCCACTAAACAATAATAATTTATGAAAATTCCTCTTAATTAACCAAGTACTACCTAATAAACTAGGGTTGAGCTCTATTCCTATTGCACATGGTATAGTCGGATTTTCACCTTAAGCACGTAACCTCTTTCTCTTTTCATTCTTCACATTCTCCATAGCATTAAAGAAGAGCATTTATCATCAAACACAACCAAACACACTCTCATTTATTATCATTCATTCATAGAACCCATGGAAATAGTAAATGAAAGAGTCAGTGATTTTCAAAATAATGAGCTTGTAGTTATTACTTTGAACAGTGATGTGATCGAGGAAGGTAACATTCCTAGTACTTCGGTTGTTAATATTCCTAGTAATTCTAACAACAAAAATGCAGAAAGTCGCAACAAATGAAGAGGAGAAAGCAATATTAATAGAATCTGTGCCTGGTTCAACATTTAATAATCTAGAAGAGGTGTACCTGTTTTACATGAAACATGTTAAAGCCAAAGGTTTTAGTATTAAAAAGGAAGCTAAGTAATTAAAAGAGAAAATAGCGGATACCCTATGTATAGTGTGTTAAGTAGTAACAAGGCAGGCAAGACCAAAACCAATAGCAAGTATAATAAACGAGTTAACTGCATGCGCGCGAGGCACGAGTTAATTGCAAGGCTTTAAGTGAATATTTGTGGACTGTGACATTGGTCAACAAAAGAATGCTGATCTCAACACTTAGATTTATGCTATGCAAGGCAGACATCCAAAAACGATATTGACTGATCATCGATTTTGCAGATGCCTAACATACATATGGAATACAACCTGGTAATTTTTGCTCACAAATTGAGTTGCATCTGGTTTAATTTGAGGAACAAAAGAAAAAGAGTTAACTGTTTCTAACAGCTCTTTTAACTGTGTAACCAAGAATTAATATTAATCATTCACGTTAGAGAGTTTTATTAACAATCAAGTCAAACCCACCAAAAATATTAACTTTTGAATTGATTTTAGCGCCATCACACATGAGATGCAAATAAGTGTTTTTAAGTAAAAACTAGAAACCTTTGTTGATTTTGGGATTGATCGAAAGAAAGGTTCCAATTTTTTTTTATTTTTTTTTGGTCTTTTCCATGTCACCTGAAATTACTAGCAAGTGAAGTTGATTAGTTTTAACAAAAATTTAAAGGTTTACCGCTAGATTAAGAGTTTTGGAACAAAAGTATAGGTTATACACAAGGACAATTTTTGCTATTGATTAGTATATATTAAGGGCAAAAATAGTCCAACTCTACATTAATGACCGTTTTTATTTTTTTCTCTAATATATAACTAATCAATTGGCAATTGACGTATAAACAATAGTTATTGCGTGCATAAAAAAAGTAGTAGTATATTCTTTTTGCTTTTAACCATGTGTCAAGAACTATGTGTAGAATCAGTCGAAGCAAGTAAATTAATAGCTAATAATTAATATACTAAATAAAATAAGACCTCTCTCTTTTTTTCCAAATTAAAACATAAAAATATTAATACGTGTATTAAGATAAAGACATCTGAATAGAAGTACACATTTAAATATTAAATACAAAATTCAAATTTATACGTCTTAATCTTAATATTAGGTGTGTGCTCTTAATATTAAGAAAAACAACGAGGGCCATTTGACAACATCGGTGAAGCAAGAGGTTAGAGCTACAAATTAAGAAAGAAAAAGGGCCGGAGTGAATTTTCATAGACTGAAGGGGTTATGTGTAGTTCCACACAAAGTCAATAGATCGCAGTATTGGTACTCAAATTTGCCGGACGATTGCCGGAACTGAAAAAAAGCTCCTCTTTCCGGGAATGGCAGGAATGGCTATGTTTGCCTCAAATCTCTCCAGCGAGGTATTATCTCTCTGAATCTCTGATCCTCTTAGTTTTCACACACTCACATATTTTGGATGTGTAAACACTGATCTGAGTGTGCGGTTGCGTATAGTAACTATCCTTTTTGCTGCCCGTTCTGATCCGTGCTATATCTCATATGTAAATTAGGGTGCTTTTAATCTAACTGGGATTCATTGCAGGATTATTAGCAATTAAGAGTTTTAGTATATGCTGATGTTTCTATTTATCAGAATATTGAAAGATAATTATCGTCAGTATATTCTCCCAGTTACAAACAACTCTTCTTTTTGTTAACAAATGTGGTGTCCATGCCAGCTTGCATGTACATGTACCGGGTAACCCTGTCCACCAATGCTTGGATAGATGGTAAGAAATTACCTAGTGTTTTTTGAACAACTTTTTTTATATAATAAGTTAAATAATGATATATTCAAGTTAATTAATTATATATTCATTCAAACGGCACCAAGAAGGTGCTAAGATCGAGTGTTACATACAAAAGCTGTGGCCCGATGCTTCAGATAGGGAGTTTAATCTTCATTCAAAGCATCTCTGATTACTCTTTTTTTCCAATTAGACATATATTAGAAGTATTTCAGACGATTTTATTGCTTGCCTGAATTTTCCTCTCCTTTTAGCTAAATAAAAACTGTCTAATATACTTACATTATCACCCGATGTACCCCAGAAACACCCAGAAATACACACAAGATCCGAAAAGCTAATGGGCAGTGTAAAATTAGGATGATCTACATTGATGATCTACATTTTTGAATTCTCATTTATATATAACATCTGCTGCATATTATAAATCCCCCCTTTCTTCAATGTTTTCTCATTTTAAAGACAGGCACGTTAATGAATTTCTTGTGGATGTTTCATCGATTACCTCTCCAATCTAACAATTTTCCTTGAAATACTAGATTGAGGGGTCATGGGATATCAGTCCTTATATTTGGAAAAGAGGTATCCAATCCTCCCGGATTAGATTGAGTAAGGGAGATAGTGTGTGGATTGAATTTCTATTTCATGTCTGACATGAAGGATGATGTACCCGACAAATACAGATTAATTTTTCATTTCCAATATGCCTCTAATCAAATGTTAAAGAATTTCACTAAAAAGTCAGACGAAGGATAAAAAACACAACAGAAGAATTTCTTATATTAGAGGATCATTTATGACATTTTGCCTTTCAGAGGGACCCCCCCACCCATGGTGGATGTCAGTGAGGGTTTTCCAGATTGGCCTGCCAAAGGTAGGATTAGAGTAGATAAAATTATCCCAACCAATCGATCTCCAATCCCTCATGCTAAACGACCCTAAAGGTGTCAACATTAGTATAAAATAAATGAATTGATCAGATTGGGAAGGGAATTAGAAGCTTAAATAGAGTATTGTCATTTTTGTAATGCTTTAATATTCTGAGGAAATATCATAACAGACAGTAATCTGTTAACATCTTCTTGCTTGTTATGGTTACTTGGCAAGTTGGTAAAATTTGTGAGTAACCTAAACTACTTCCCCTCAGTCTTAAAGTGTTTGAGCTGGCCAACCAGTCATGTTCTACAACCCTCGACGTCCGTCTTACAAGTTTTCATTTTCAAGCTTCACTAAAACTACTCTTCTATTACTGGTCATCCTTGTGCTTGTAACTTTCATTTATGTCATGCATCCGGAAGATATAGTATTTTTCTTCTTCTCTGGTCTCACATCACTTTCATTTGATGCAGGTTGGGTTAAAATTGCTTCTTAGCCCGCTTAATACTAATGTTGTTGTCCGTACTGCATGGTGAGCTCTTATTCGAGTTTGGAGATTTTCTTTTCATGATCCAATTGACTTTGCCTACAGTCACTTTTAAGTTCTAAGAAGGAATTCTACACTGTTGCTTGGGATGAGCCAGATGCAAAAGTTTCATATCCGTTTCACGAGCCTGAAGAATCCTTGTTTCTTATTGATATTTTGAATTCTATTCTTTAGCTGCATTTATTATTTGGCAAAGTGGAAGATTGTAATTAAACTTTAAAGGTATTTGCAGCTGTTCTGTGGGGATTCTTTTGCCTGTTTATTCTACTTTCAAAGCAATTGAGATGGGGGATCAAAACGAGCAACAGAAATGGCTTCTGTATTGGGCAGGTGATGATGCTTTTCAAAACATTACAGATATTGTTTTGCTTTGAAAATCTTGAAATTCCTTTTTTCTGCGCAAGATACTAATTGATATTCTCACCACAAAGTATCTCCCCTAAGAGTTCTATTGTATGTCCTTATCAAAAAAAGAGTTTCATATGTACTTCTGTTTTCCCTAATACCGTGTGAAATTATTGCTGGGCAATTAATCTATAGAGTTTCATTTGAAAAGCAATAAAAAGAAGCTATTGAGTCTACAGAACAAGAAATTACAACAAGAACTTAAGCTAGATCCTCCTTTAAATCATCTCATTTTTTTTAAGAATGGCGTTGCTATACTTGTATATCTCAATACTTGCTAAATCACCTAATTTGATATACAACCCCAGCAGAAATTGGGCAGTCGATACAGATTGGGTGTCTGTCTTTTTCTTCCACTTCTGGTTATTGATTCTATGAGTGACACTAACTTCATCTTTTTGAAGGCAATTAAGCAATGTGTATGCTTCATGATTATATGTTGTATGACATTTTTTGATGCCCCACATAAACAAAAAAAATAAGTAAATAATAATATAATAAAAGAAACCCCCACTCCATGAATATTTTGCTTTACTGGTGGCTTATGCTTAACCTATTCAAGGCCTAATCACTGAGGATTGGAGGCCTCACAGTACTAGTTAGACTTTTAGGTTATTGTAATTATCTCGCTCATATGTCTCTGTTCAGTCAAGCATAAGCTACTCCCTCTCTCTCTCCCTCTCTCTCTCTCTCTGCTTGCAGCATATGGATCTTTCAGTATAGTTGAAGCATTCACGGATAAATTTCTCTACTGGTAACTGCTTTCACTTCCTTTTTCTAATTTTTTTTAATAGCCAGTAATGTGTTTAAATGAGGTTATTTGTTTGGGAATACCAAAGTAACATGGAAGAGCTTTGACTTATTTCATAGGTTCCCACTATACTATCATGTGAAGTTCGCATTTCTTGTTTGGCTTCAACTTCCATCTGCTGATGTGAGTTCAACAGATATTTCTGTTTCTTGAAGTTTATCTTTTTCTTCCCTTTCCATTTTGCTTACCTGCTTTGGGGAGGATGGATGTAAAACAATTTCACTACCATGGTTTATATCTCCTGACAATATCCTGCCCATTTCAAAAGGTAAGTGCCTGGGAAATATAGCCAGTACCTCTTTACCGTTAGGAAGACTATGACTTTCGGAGCTTACAACTTCTAACTGGATACTCTTTCCATATGGAAGCCAATTGTTGATTCTGCTGGTGAGTTAGAAGATAGAGGAAGAGATGTACAGAGAGAGAGAGAGAGAGAGAGAGAGAGAGAAGGCAAGAAGGTGTAACGTAGGTTTCAAACAAGGGAAAAGGAACATGCAGCTTAGGTTTCACACCAGTGACAAGGAAGGCGGAGTCTAAGGATGGTTGAGGGATGAGTGGGTGAGGGGAAGCTAGTGAATCTGGCAGACAGTGGAAAATAGAGAATGGTGAGAATAGTGACCTAAGTTTAAAAAATTAGAATAATCATCATGGGGGCCTTCTTTGACTTTTTTTTAATCAATTAAAATTAGCATTAAAATGTCCTAATCTCAACACACTTGTGAGCGTGTCAGGCCAAATAAAAAAATTTCTAGCTTTTTTTGAGGTGAATTTTGCTGGACTGCTTAATTAGAGTTAGTGATGTAGCTTTAGCTCGAAGTTTGTACTTACCATTTCACTGAAGTGATGCACTTCTTTGGTGTTACACAGGGTGCTAAGCAATTGTACACAAACCATCTGCGCCCTTTCCTCATGAGACATCAAGGAAGACTGGATAATATTTTGGAGTTATTTCATGGAGAACTGGTAAAAGTTATCTATTATTGTATGTCATAAATTTGACTTTGAAATGTGTTGATGCAACTTGCCAATTAATTTAAGGTTATTGAAAGTGTCATCTATTTCAATTTACTAGGATGTAGCATTCTGTCACTTGATGCTTTGTGCCCTTTTTCAAAGTTTTTCATAAATTCCAGAGTAAGGTTGGATGAAACTGTGCTCGTGCATGTAAGTTAAAAGGACTGCTTAAGGTTTTTGATCAGTAGTTTGTCTCTTACATGTATTGTGTAATTGCAGCTTCTTAAGGGTTTTTTAATCGTCAATTCAGATTGTCTTATAGAAATATAATTTGCAGGCCAAATTTATTAGTACCCACCAAACAGAAATCCAATTTGCACAGATGCTTCTTGCCAAAAGTTTATTATCAGGTGATTCTTTCTTATAGTAACAGATTCCCTTCATCTTATGTTTGTTTCCACAAGCTATTTCAGGGTGAACATCAGTATTTATCCCTCGTATAATTATAGAAGAAAAGTACCTTCATATTTTAGTTTGGTATATGCACCATGTACATCGAAATGTGATAGGTTTAATGCATATCCCATTTAATTTACTTTTCTTTATTTAGTTGGGGGTATTCTTCAACCTGGGCAAGGACGAGTTGTTGGTACAATTGAAGGTCCAGCAGCGCAACTAGAGACTTCAGCACAGCAAGTAGAGACTTCAGAGTCAGAAGATGAATCATGATGCCTTTTTTTTGTACATCATATCAACTTAGTTTAGCTTTCTTTCATGTTCTTACTGCATCTTTGATGCAAAATATATAGAAAGTGATCAGTGTATACATAATTTTCGGAGGAGTCAATTTTATTGTGGGTTTGTGGTTTTCCTTCTTCGTTTCCCTGTAAATATTTATCAACAGAAAGTGCTGAACTCACCCACAATAAGTATTACTATGCATATAAAGGTATGATCTAGTATACATTGCCCTTTCCTGACCCCACTTGTAGTAATATATATATATATATATATATATATATTTTTTTTGTTATGCGTATACCTAAAATATTACCATACAACCTTTTAAAACGATGATTTAAATTAGGGGTGGCAATTTGAGCCACACTCATTTGACTTTGACCTACCCATTTGTTGAACTCCGTTCATCTTGAGCCAACTCATTTCAACCAATCTAGTGTATGACTAATTTTTAGTTCAAATTGATTCATAAGTAACTTTGTTAAAATATATTGAAAATAATTTTTTTTGTTTGATATATTATATATGAGCATAATAAAAGAAAAAAGTCTTATTTGATAATTAAACAAATCATAAGAAAATAATACATATAAATTAAAGCTCGTTAAGAGTTGGGCGGATGGATTATGATCTAAATTTTAGTCCAACTTGACCCAGCCCATCTTAAGCAAAGTTACTTTGACCCGTGCATTTATTAACTTAATCCATTTTGACCCGCCTAAAATTAGCCAACCCGCCCCTGTGATACCGTAATTTAAATTATTGAATTTGCTAAACAAGAATTGAGTAAATCCTAAATCTAGATTCGCCCCAGACTAGATTTTCAATTAAAACCAGAATCGTTTTATTCGCCATCTCAAAATCCTAAAACATAATATAATCAGTGCAAAATTGAAAACTCTCACATACCCGGGGTCTTAATTGCATATTTCAAATAAATAGATCACCAGTTTGTAAATAATTTAAAATGTAGCCGTCCATTTTTCTCATTACTGGTCCATCGGCAAAGCAGCAAAATACACTAAAGCAACCGACATCGGCGGGTTGAGCTCATAATTCGGGTTTCTTCCTCAGTTTATTTCCTCAACCTATCACTCATGGCGGCTGTTGCAGAGACGCGAAAGCTCCCACGGCCGGGGAGGGGCGGCGTCGTCTCCCTTGGCCTGACGGAGGAAGAAGCCAGAGTTCGTGCTATAACGGAGATCGTCAACAACATGGTGGAACTCTCACGGAAAGGCAAGGACGTAGACCTAAATGCGTTAAAGTCAGCAGCGTGCCGCAAATACGGGCTTTCTAGGGCTCCAAAGTTGGTAGAGATGATCGCTGCTTTGCCTGACTCCGAACGTGAATCACTGCTTCCCAAACTCCGAGCCAAGCCCGT